AAAGGGCGGGGGGGGCCGGAGCCGCCTCGTTCCTTCTTGAGGCGGTGTTTTGATCAATGTTGACAAGTTTAACTGTAAAACTAAACGACGTTTATAGCGCGATGTACGCTTTACCCGTTGCTTAATTGCGTCTAATGGCGGCGCACGGAAAAGGCATTTGCCGCTTCACTTTTGTTTAAAACGACAATCTAAACCGCGAGGCCTATGGGGGTTTTGCGCGAAGATGGCGACTTAATTAAAAACTAAATGCAATCCATTTTTAAAAGGCACCTGCAACTTTAAGAAGCACAAAGTGCTCGCTAAGTGCTTTGGATCCGTGGCTCGAGCCCTGTCGGGGAGGGGAAGGCTGGCCCTCCTCCTCCTCACCCCTCTCCCAGCGCGGTACCGCGGTCCCCGGGCTCCCGGCACGGGCGGCGTGCCGTGCTCCATTCGCCTGCTTTGGGATGGAGCCGGGATAGAGGGGCCCTGGGGCGCAGACGGCGTGGTTTGAGCGAGATGGGACAAGGACCACATCCAAAACCCGCGTTCCTGCTCGTGAGTGCTGCGTTTGGGTTGCGGGCTCGCTGCTGTGGCTCTCGGGGCAGCGAGGGGGACCGGGCTCATCGGGTGGCTCGGAAAATCCCAGGTTTATTTCTGTGTGCCACAGACGGCCTCTTTTCCCTTCTGCCCAACTCTTCTTTGCCCCGTTAGCCCGCAGACGGGCGCGTTCCCCGTGGAAAACCAGGCCTGAAGAAGGAGCGTGCGTCCAAGCAAGGTGCGCCTTTCGAACTGAGCGCTGGCTCGGGGCTGCGTGCCGTCCACGTGGCCGGCGAGCGCTGGCAGTGATCCGGAGCATCAGCCCTCGCTCTCCTGCTCACGGGTTTAGTCAGAGCACATCCCACGGATGGGGGGAACACAAAACCACGTTTGGTTCCCCCAGCCTGGAAGAACAGCCGGCGAAGGGGGGACGCGCTGAAATCTGCAGCGAGTTGATGAATGTTTGGAGGCGTTGGCACGGGTCTCTTACGTGCCGTTATAAACGCCATGGGTGACAGATTGAGGGCTGATTCCGCGTTCTTTCTTCCTAATAAATGCAGTAAAAGAGCTCTCAGGGCTGCCTTTGTCGCGGGCTGGGGCAGGGCGGTTGGTGTGGCCAGAGGCTTAAAGCTTGCAAAGGCGTGGTGCTGAGGGCTGGCGCTGCTCGCCGGCTCCGGTGCGGACCCCAGGCGAAGGGCCGGTGCTGTGCCCTGCCTTCCCCCCCTCCCGGAGGCAGAGACGGGCAGGAGCTCACGCGTCGATCGTGAGGCTGCTGCTGAGATTTCTTCACCCCTGTTTTGAGGGGGGGGTGGGCGCAGCGCATGACCAGCGCTGATGGTGTCCGCCATTCTCTCTTTGACAAAAGCTCTTGTCTTTAATCCCTCAAAAAAATAAAATATGGAAGGGGGGCTTGGAAAAAAGGAGGGAAGGGAGGGAAGCAGACCCCTAAAGACAGGGCCCGCTCCTCGCCGAGCGGCGTGCGGGTGATGCTTTATTGAGCCGAGCTGCGGTCGTCGTTTCGGTGAGGCCCCCGGCAACCGGCATCGAACGGAAGGGCCGGTCCCCCCGGGGCTGCGCGGGCGGGCGGGCACCCTGCCGTCCCCGTGTGCCATGGGACCGAAATCCAGGATCCTGGCATCACCCTGGGCGCTCTCACCCCAAAAGATGAGGAGCGGGCAGGCGACATGCGTGAGCAAAGCGACTCGGAAAGCCGATAGACCAGCGGGAATCGCCTCTTCTCCCGCCACCGCAGGCTGGGAATTAACTTCAAGGGGTAAAACATAAACCCGGCTTAATCCGTGGCGGAGAGCTTGCCCTCGTGGGATGGGTCGGTGGCGGGTTTGGGTGCTGGGGGGGTGGCTGAGCTGCAGTAGCTCTCGATCTGTCGGCGCTGGTGCACGTTTTGCCTTCTCATTTTAGGTAGCAGTAAACACTTTTTGGACACAAGTTCTGCGGGTGTTTTGTTTAAGGCTTACAAAAGAACTCCTGTGCATAATGCAGCAAGTAAAGAGGCGTAATTTAAAGGCAACCACGTGCTGTCTCAGCCAAAGACTGGGAATTGGCCGGAATACCCCATGAAAAATAGCGTATTCCAATTTATTATCTGTTATCCCATTGTGCTTCAGGACGTGTTCCGCAGGTTTGCACATTCGTTATTAATTTCGTCATTTACTTCTTGCCCGTCGCAGTGGCGGAACGGAAGATTTCGACACGGCTTTAACTGACGTACGCAGGCAGTTGGGGGAGATCCTTTCATTAGGGAAGAGGTAGGGCTGATGTTGATCAAAATCCATCGTGGGTGCTTTACGGAAATAAGGATTTCTTGGCTTTAAAGGAGATTATTGAGCTGCACGTTGTGACAGATGCTACCAACAGGGAAAAGAAAGGATGTTAAAAAATCTGCAAGAGATGGGTTGCAGGTATGGATGTAAGACATATCTGCTCGTTAGCGCGGAATGAAACCCATCATCTGGCTGGAAACCGTTTTCCTCCTTCCTGGAAAATCCCATCGTTATGACTAATCTGTGGTGGCGTTTTGGGGGGGCGTGGGCGCTGCACCTCAAACGCTTGCTCTGGGACCCAAGGACCTACCAAATACCCCCCCATGCGTTCACCGAAGGCACCGCATCCCCCCATGCGTTCACCAAAGGCACCACATCCCCCCATGCGTTCACCAACCCGGGCTTGAACAGCAGCGGCGTCTTCACAGGGCGCTGGGTGACGGCAGCGAGCGGCTCGGAGGTGGCGGCTGGGGGGCGCTCTGTAGCCCCCCGGAGGATGCCGAGGGAGGGTCCCCCTCGCCGCAGCCGCGCTCTGGCCGCAGTGCCCGAGCTACGCCCTCGGTAGCGTAGGTTTGGCGGCCGCAGGGAAAGGTGGAGAGCGAGCAGATGGGAGAGCTTCCTCCAAAGGTATGCTTGCCAACGCAGAGCGTGACCGGTGCCATGCGAAAGCCGAAGCACGTGGCTGCTGCCAGCCTCTCCGGTACAAAAATAGAGGTGACGGCGCAGGTGACAAACCTGCCAACGCGTGAATTCTCGCCTTCCGCGCTTAGGGTTTCAGCGGAGGCTGCCGGGGCTTTGGCCCCCGCGGCAGAGCCGGAAACGACCAAAGGCCGTGGGTGCCAATAAATAACGCGGTGCTGATGATGTCAATGTGCCGCACGGGCTCGTTGTCTTCAGAACGGAATGCTTCGCCGGCACTCCCTGCCCTTCCCTGCAGCGACGCCAGGCTTCGGCTCCTAACGCAACGAGTCGGGCAGAGGGAGGGAATTCCAGGTGCGTTTTGAACCCCAGGATTAATCCCGGTCTCCTTCCTTCGATCTAGGCTGTGTGTGTCCTTGGTAGCGACGTAGCCGGAAGATAAAACGCAGCTGAGGAACGCTGTGTTAGGGCGACGTTAATAATAACCGAGCGTTATTTAAGTGTACCCCCCGGTGCCAAACTGCGGCTCTCTTGCCCACGCTGCTTGCGAGCAAGGGCCGGGAGCCCGCAGCGCTGGGCGTTGGGGGCGTCCTTGGCGGGTGACGGCTGCGCGGGAGGAGGAGCGCGGGAGGAAGGTCCCTGCCTTGTGCTTTATTCTGAGGCTCTGCACCGCTTTGCCTCTTACCGCCCTTCTGCTCGCTCCTCCGCTTTGGCGTCCCCGAGAGCCCCTTCCGAGCCCACGGGTGTCCCTCGGGGGGGATTGGCCCGTCCCACCTTCCCCTCTCAAACCCTTCCAGGCAAAGGTCTCGCCTGTCCCCTGCGCACAGCAGCCAGAGGCGGTGCTCCCACCGGTGTTTGGCTGATGCTCCGATAGATCCCGGCCTTAGGAGCGCCAGCATTTGGCTGATGCTCCGATAGCCCCCGGCCTTAGGAGCGCTGGCCTCCTCGCCTTTTCTTGCCTCGCAGCGGGCTCCGGCCTCCAGCACAACAGCGAGAGAGCGGTGGCTGCTGTTCCGCGACCGCCGTTCTCCGGAAAGTTAGTTAAACTGTTTGAGCGTCCCTGCACGGGTATAAATAAGGGAAAAAGCTGCAGCAGCGACCTCTTTTATTCAGGCGCTGTCAAATGGGTTAAGAAATTAGTTCTGAACCAGGGAAGACGCAGCACGCAGCTTTCCAGCTTAGCCGCGGCAGCAAAACACGCCAACGGCGCGTGTAGGCGTTGGAAGCCCCGCTGCGGCGAGCGCGACCCGTGGGATTCCTCCTCCGCGTGGCCCGAAGCCATTGACCTGAAAGACGGTCGCACCCCGAAAGGCCACGTTCCGGGCAACTCCTGTAAATTGCTTTCTGTCACCGATTTGCCTGGAAACACGAGATAAAAAGCTGGGGTTTGTGGCACAACAGGCTTGGTCGCACAACCGGCACCAACGCTGCCAGCCGTGCCGAAGTCGCCCCCCTGCTTCCCGGGAGCCTCGCTGGCCGTGCCCCCCAGCCCGTGGCGGTCCCCCACCACCGGCAGCCTTTGAAGGGACAGGCGATGCAGGGCTGCGGAAGGTTTTCTGTCTGGATCTGGGGAACAGAAAGGCAAGCGTGATGTCTGCTCCCAGCGCGGGCGACAGATCGTAAATGTGCGCCGATGTGGTGCGGGAGGGAACGCGAGGGGAGGGGGTGAGGCGGCACTGACGGACGCCGGGAGGTCAGGAAACGTTTTAGGCTGGAAAAGCTTCTGGCCAAACCACATCAGTTTTTATTCCCAAGATGAAAGGGAAGGCTTCAGCTCGATCGTTGGACGGATGAGGGCTAACTCATGCTGAGCGCCGTCCCGCCTGCGTGCAGAGCCCCGTCAGCGCATGCTCTTCACTGAGCATTTTGGAAGATGCCTGGGTCGGGAGGGCTGCTTCTCCGGAGGGGTCAGTGGGAAGCGGGCGCTCCCAGCAGCCTCCGGCAAGCGTCTTCATGATTCGGGGGGAGCAGGGCTCAGCAAGGGAGCCGCTTTCCCGGGGGCTCGCCGCGCGCAGCTCTAGCAGCGTTGGGCATTGGTTCTGTCTCGCCGTGCCATTTGGGTGACAAACGGCTAGGAAGAATTCCCCGATGCCATTTTGCCACGCAGCAATTCACAAAGGTTTCAAGTAAATACAGCCTTGGGCTTCAGAGCCATTGTCACCTTTTATTCCTCCTCTTCACGCAGCGAGAGCTAAAGGTGGCTGCAGCGGGTTCTTCTCCGCAAATGTAATAGCTGCGCACAACTTGCTGGAAGGTGCGGGGTATTTTTCTGGAGCGTATGCCTCATCACTCTCCAGAATAAGTCATTTTTAGCACAACCTTGCACCTTCCCTCTGAAACGAGGAGAGTAATTCAGCCGGGCGGCGTGAGCGGCGGCGTGGCGAGAGCTGGGGCGGGAGTTGGCCGCCGCGCCGGGTGCGTCGCTGCCAAAAGGTGCTGAAAGCGTTTGCACGTGTGCATGAGCTTGCTAAAATATGGGCTGAGAAAGAGGGGAAATAGGTCCCTGCAATTACAGTGGTTGAGTAAAGCGTGTGACGAGGCGATGAAGTAGCTGGCGCCGAGGACGCTGAGCGGCAGGAGTAGTTTTGTCCCTGCCGGCAATGTCGGGAAAACTTGCGGGAATTTGCTGGAAAGAGCAGGAGCCGCTTCTAGCCGGCCCCGGTTATGGGATCACCGGTGGGGATCCGCTTGGATTGCATGGCCAGTTGTCCAAAACTGCGTACGAGCTCTTCCCCTGAGCTTTGACGGTTCTGGGGATGCGTGGTGAGGTTGGTGTCCGTCTTGGCTCCGACAGTAACGGGGTGAAGCTTGAATCCGGCGCCTCCGTCTCCTTCTCCATTCCCTCTTCTGCAGGCGACAAACCTTCTCTGCTTGGAAGGTAGAAGGCTTTGTGCGCTGCCCCACAGCAATCCCTTTGTTGAAATTGGAAAGTACAAATATTGGTACGAGGCGAGTGCTGCTGCATCAATTTGCTGTAGTCCCAGCTTAGAGAGGGGTTGGGCTGCGACGTCCCCTTCCCTTCACGTCGTTTAAGC